GGAGAGTACAAAAAAGTCTATTTCTTTTGGTGTCAGAGTGAAGTCCGTAGAATTACCTAATACGCAATCGTCTACTTAATGCCCTGCCTCCTAGCTCCTGCAACACTTACCTCCTACCACATACCTACAGATCTGTAAGCTTACACTGCTACAGCTTCAGCAAGCTGATATTTTTATAACTCCTCTCCAAAATGAGATTTACATTCCTATAAGCTTCCAACTATAGGAATGTTTTTAACTCCTCTTTTAAAGTATAAACATGATTTTCGTGCTATTTTCTTGTGATTTGTTTTGGATGTGCTCTTTTCCTATCATCAAAAGGTATTTACCTTAACCTTTCCTCAGACGAGTGAATTATTTTTAGACTAAGCATTATGTAGAGTTTCACTTCTAACTGGGGAAGGAAATCTGTTAGATTGAATCTGGGCAATAGGACACAGAATTATTACTGACAGATTAAGTTCTTGTGCAAGCTGAAATGTTTTTGCTTGTTTCCAACTGATACACAATAGTCTTCCAGTCTTTCATTTTTCCTGTCAAAGCTAGATCACTCTTAAAAGGATTTTCTGTCTCAATTTGGAGACTATATTTCAAAGTAAGGAATGATAAGTTCTGTTTCAAGTGTTGTCTTTCTTTGTGTTTGGTTCAGCCTGGAGCGAGTTTGGAGCAGACACACATTTTTGTACTTGCACATATTCTTAGAAGACCAATTATAGTTTATGGAGTAAAATATTATAAGAGTTTCCGAGGAGAAACATTAGGATATACCCGCTTTCAAGGTAAGCCTTTGGTTTTTCAAATTTAGTTTTAAAAAAGGTTCAGCTATAAATCATAAAGGAAGTCGAGAGTGACGTTAAGCTACTAGCTGGACGAGGATGGAATAATGTGGTAGGTAAATTTCCATTAGCTATTAAAAAGAACAAAACAATCCCCTCAAAACTTGCAGTTTTTCATTGTATAGTGGGCACGCTGCCTGTCGCCACAGAAAAAATGTGTTTTGACCTCCGTTCAACATGCCATTAGTCTATAGTTTATATAAAATACTCTGATTGTGAAAACTTGTCAAAAGTTGTGTGGTTTGTACTGCTGTAAGACACAAGAGGTTTAATAAATGGAATCTGAAATTCCATTCGCTTGTGGTCCTAATGGCTGTAAACGTTCGTTTTAGAAACTAAACTGTGTTTAGCGTTTCCTGAAGGAGGCCCCTAAAGCTGGGGGCGAGGCAGGCAGAAGGTGTTTGCGTTGGCAGGGTTGCTCGCCAGAAGGACAGCGGTATCTGCCGGGTGCGCTTTCGGGACGCAGGGGCATGCCTTGTCGCGGGAGGCGGCGCTTCAGAGCAGTGAAAAGGAGTCACCCCTAAAGCAAGAGGCAAGGGTATACAAAGAAGGGTAGAGAAATTAGAGTAGGCTGGAGAATGATCAAGTTGAGCTCTTTTTTTTTTTTTTTTTTTTTTTTTTTTTGTAGCTGATTAAAGAGGTGGCAACTCGAATGTATGCTGTAGAGGCTGAAAAAGAAGGAATCCTGTTCATAAATGCTCTATATGTGAGGTATAAGATTAGGTAACATAGTTACAATTACAAAATATTGGTCGACTGATAATGTAAATCTTGCTTTCTGTAAAAGCAAATTCCATGATGTAGTGAAAAGAAAGTTTTTAAAATGTATCTGTTTCAGTAATTCACACTTTACAGCCAGTGCGATGTAAATACTGACCTGTTTCTGAAGTAGTACTATAATTTTGCATCGCTTGATCAGGTTCTTTCCGACTGTTTCTCCTCCTAATCTTCTGGGCAAACAGCCTAGCTATTCTTAAGATAAATAGGAAGACATTTAGCTGACTCAGTCCAGTTTTGCTTGGATGGATGTTTGTAGATTTGTAAAGATGTGTACTCTATTTTGCAGGCCAAATACGTGTTTGAGCAACTTTCCTCTGCATTAGATGCTAACACTCTAATATTTGCCTGTCTACAGGAATTAAAACATAGGAAGGGATTGGGAGCATCTGTACGTGCTCAGCAGTAAACAGAGCTGATGTGGAAAGAACTCATGAGGCACTGCGGCTGCGTTGCGGGGCGTCAGGGGGTTTCTTGTGCCCGTGGCTCGTTCTCCTGGCCTGAAGTAGATCTGCTTGACTACTGCCCTGCAGTTGTTTTCACCAGTACATCACTATTTATTTATAGCTTAGTAGAGGACCTCCTGAAACATCTCTTAATGTGACTTTTAAAAAAGTACACTAACTTTGGGAGGTGGCAAACCTTATATAGAAGAACTCCAGGGTGCGGAGCTAATGTCAAATGTATAACCTGTTATAACTACTTAGAGTCTTCAGAAAATCTGAGAAGGTGTTTGGCTTGTAAGTTTGGGGCAGTGACAAAACCTCTTTATGTGAGGACATGAAATACTTGTATAAAAATCTGGTACTCTTTGTAGTTACGTGTTATCTTTTATTTGAGATGATGAAAGGATAGACTGGGAAAGAACAGTTACTCGTGTGATATAGATCTGACACTTCAGGTTTGTGTTGCCTTTCACCCGAAGGCTGAGCGGTTTGCAAAATGTTGTTTGTTTGTTTGTTGTTTTTTTTTTTTATAGATTGGGCATTGAGGTAGACAAGCATTACGTGGCCTAAATCTGCTGAAATTGTTTTCTTGCTCTGTGAACCAGAAGGTAATTGGGTGTCTGGGACAACGTTTTGCTAGACACGCGTTTCCAGGAATTTAGTCAGACAAATATTTATGACTTGTGACTTGCTTGCCACAAGCCGCATCCATCCATCCGTCCATAGAAACACTCAACACTGAACAGGTGAACTTAGGAGTCCTGTGTCAAATTACCTGGAGTACTTCTATCCTTGTCCAGCCACATTTTTGTGGTTAATGTGTGCTAATTAAATGCTAGCAGCACAGCTGAAACCAAACAGCCATCGGACTCGGGGTACTATGGGCTGCCAAGACAAGTCTGTAAATGGCAGGAGACTTGCTGTTCTGGGCTTGTGTGTGAGCTTTGCCTAGCACATGTCCCTTCGGTGAAACCGAGGAGTGCTTGGGCTTCTCTGACTTGCTGTATAGCACCCTGCCCGTGTTTAAGATCACATTCACCAAAAAAGAAAGAGGAGAGAAAGGTTGTGGTTTATAACAGAGATGGAGAAATGAATTTTTTTAACGGTTGCTTAATGTCATGGTTCAGTTTGTAGCACCTTGGAAGGTACTGTAAACCCCTTATCTGCCCCCAAAATCTTCCCCCGATCAGAATATTTTTCTCCAGGGATTCCTTGTTCCAGTTTGGCATCCTTGGTGTAACTGCTGTGAATCCCATAACTGACAGCCTCCTTGTTTCCTAGATTGCAATGGACTGTTAACGCTGCTTTAAATATTAAGGCTTTGACAGTGAAAGATCCATTTACTGAGCCTGAGTATGCTCCTGGTCTAACTGCGTGTATTTAGTGACATGAATATACAGCTTTTAAAACTAAGCAGGAAAAAAGGTGACTGACTGAAATTGTCATCAGATCAGGTTGGAGAAACTCAATCCTACGTGGATGGCTTCCAGGATAGGTGTTAGCCCATACTCTTTACTTTCAGCAGCTTGTGTGCACGTCACGAGTACTGTCACACTACCTCTCAGTTTATATCGGATTGACTTTCATAGAACTTCAGAGCACTGGATATTTTCCATGGTAATGCCTGAAATTCCCTTTTTGTGCAGCTCATCACATAATGTTGAGGAGGAATGGAAAGTATAACACAGCCTTCTGACTTGGGGAAATTATTAGTGTGGCATTTTTACTATGATAAAACAACAGTGAAAAAAATTTCCAAAAAGTTGCTGAATTTCAGCATAGAGATTATGTTGAGGAACACAGATTAGTTCCACTCCTGAACAGGTCATGTAGCTGTGCCTGATGCAGGAGTTCTGTGTCATTAGATGAGACGTGAGATATTAATAGCGATGAGGCTCTTTGCTTATCAGTGATTTCTGTAGCCCTGACAACACTGAGTAGTGCTTGGGGCCAAAATCTACCAGTTTGGGGCAGCAGGGAATTAACTGTCTGTATTAATTGGCAGTAAATTAAATCAGTCTTCCCCAAATCGAATCTGTTTTGCCCATGATGGTAACTGGTGAGTGATCTCCCTGTCCTTATTTCGACCCACAAGCTTTTGTGAGTGGAAGGAGGGGACCTTTTGATATATCCCTAGGATCATAACTTGTGGGAGAAAAGGGGTAAGCGGTCATCCTGAGGGTGCTGACGCTTTCAGTTCTGAAAGGCCTCAGTCACCTAACCAACATGTATGTAGATAGCACCGTCATATTTAAACGAAGCATACAATATTAATAAATTAGTTTCCAACCCTCGATGCTTGATTGCTTTGCTGATGCTTCAAACTAAAGCTTGGAAAAAAGTTTATAACGTTATTTCTCAGTGCGTGCATGAAGGAATTTCCAGGAATTGAGGGACTGTCGTCATTACATTTGACTGTTAGTATGTTATTTTCAGTGTAACTTTGAATTTTGACCAGATGGTTGGTTCT